AGTATGTGTATGGAGATAAAAGCCATGAGAGAGGCTCTACACTGGATCAAGAACACAGGCCATCAGCGAGCAGTAATCATTATTGACTCTATGAGCACACTACAGAAGGTACAGAAAGGGATGCTGTATGCGGACTGGAAGGCTACGATCAGGGAGAGCAGCCTGGAAAGAGTGGCCTGGATCTTCTACCCGGGCCACGCGAGGGTAACCGGCAACGAAAGAGCAGACAAGCTGGCTGGAGAAGCAAAAGTAGGAAGGAATTTAACATTGGACCCACCAACCGTCGTAACCACTGTAAGGGAAAATTTGAGGAAGACTAGGGCTGATAGCGGTTCCCTTACTCTAGGTAGATTGAAGGAGAAGGGGATCCAAAGAGGAGAGGGGAAACACAGCCATCTGTGCGGACCAGTTCGACGGATCTCCAACCAGATTATGATGGAGACTATATAAGCAGACAGACTCTGGGATGGATCCTGAAGATGGGGGGGGGGGAGCAGAGATGGACACGTTCCGACTGCAGTGACCCCAACACAGTGGACAAGTAACAAGTAAAGCTATCTGCAAATGGAGCAAACTCCCCTGAGACCTGCCGGGAAGCACAGTAGGCTATTTCCACGATCAAAACCGATACGAGCCGAATCTTGTTGGATAATACTGACAGCTCGCCTGATGACACTAAGTGTGACTAAGGTATGGGAACTACTAAATATAAAAAAACAGAACGCGGCATTAAGCTCTATGGACGCAGTTTTTGCCGGGAGTAAAACAACGGGAGACTGGACTGCCTCACACGTTACCTGAATGACGCTGTGACCGTGACAAGAAGCTCTCTTCTCAGGGTCGTAGCACGGCACAAAAACACAACAACAAAAGCAACAACAACAAAAACAACAACAACAACAACACTGTCAGAGTCAAACACGACAGGCTGTGTGACCATTTGGGGAAAGTGTTCACTTGTCAAAACAATATTTTAGTACAGAGAGACCTGGACTAGAACTGATTTTAAAAAACCACATGTAGACTAGCCTTGATAACATCAGTCCACCGATACAGAAAAACTGAAAAAACTCTTGTAATGTTAACGAAATCAAGGAGAAATTTATATCACAATAATCACCGAAACGTAACGCACATGATGGTATAGCTTTCTAAAATATCCAGGAATTATAAAAGTCAGGAACACCACAAATTAAGAGGAGCACAGTAGGCTGCTTGTTGGCGCGATCATCACTCACTCACTGATTTTGGACTGCCTCACCCGCTACCCAAGTGAGGAGGTGGCCCTAGCGAAGAGCACGCTCTTCGGGGCTCCAAAATTTTCGAACGGATAGGCTACCACATACACACACACAACAACAACAATAACATCAACAACAACAACCACAACAACCACAACAATCACAACAACAACTGCACTGATGAATAATCGGAAAGTGGTTAAAAACTGATGTCTGCGACTGATCTCCACCTAAGCCCAGTCGAGGCACTTTGAGCTGAAGCGGGGATCCCAGGCGTTGAGTCTACCATCAATGCTAACTGCCTCCGATCAAGAGGGAACGAACAACGACCACCCCCGAAGAAATGCAGCAACAGAACAAGTGCACAGACGCCAAAAGGGACGTAGAGATTTCCGAAAAAGGGCAAAAGACGCCAGCAAAAAAAGCCCTCATCTGTTCAACTGCGAGAGGAGGCACATTACTTATTTCGAAACCAGGCCGTGGGAACGGGGAATCAACCCCGACATCGCTTTCCTGTACGGCATAAGCGGAAGGAGTCACTCCAGTGTGAAGATCCGAAGCGCTGCTCTTCGTCGAGCACGAGAGCTTGGCGCACAGTACAATCTCTACATTGACGGCTCGGCTAGAAAAGGAACAACGAATGGCGGCGCTGGGGTCGTCATCACGACGGGGGTCCCGTCCAACCCGACTGTTGTTGAGACATTGAGGGAGAAAGGCGCCATATTCATGTGTTCTTTCGAAGAAGAGAGGAGAGTCTTGGAAATGGATTGACTGGATCGACAAACAGTGTGATGCTTCCATCTCGGTCGCCATCTTCACTGACAGTCAAAAGCTATGCATGGCACTAGTGGGAACATCACCATCCCTCGACCAAATGCGACTACGCATAAATAATACAACACCTCAACCCATGATTCAGTGGATCCTGGTCACTGCGATATCCTCGGCAACGATCTCACTGACAGTAATGCCAAACTGACAACAGCGTTGCCAGGTCCAGGCCGCCAAATTTTATATGAAAGTGCGTGCGCCCAGATAAAACTTATCACTAAAAGACCTCCGATATCCCACACGCGGACGAAGGAAATAAACAGGGCAATTTCCTTAAAATGAGAGGCTCAAATTAAGTCCCGCAGTGACCAATCATTACTCACAAAAATCAGGACCGGTCACTTTTCTGGACTACGTGCCTACGAAAATAGAATAAACAAAACATCGGACCCAATCTATCCATTGTGCAGCGAGGAGACCCAAGATATGGAGCACTGGCTGCCCAGATGCCTCGCCTCGGAGGTCTGGCGATGGCATCTCTTTGGGAAGGATTCAGAGAGGTTGGACTGCCTTACCCGCTATGCAAAGGAGGCTTTGCCCTGGCGAAGAGCACGCTCTTCGGGGCTCCAAACATTTCGAACGGATAGGCTACCACACACACACACACACACACACACACACACACACACACACACACACACACAACATCAAAAACAACAACAGTGACAACAGTGACAACAACAACAACAACAACAACAACAACAACAGTGACAACAGCAACAATAACAACAACAAAAACAGCAATAAAGACAAAGACGACGACAATGCAACGTCAGACACAACATGACAATGCTTAGGGTAAGGGAACCAACCCCCCAAAAAATTGAAACCGGCACTTTGAAATGGGAACGTGATTTTTTTTTTAGCATTTAAGTTATAGCCCTTCGGTGGTATTTTTGTGTTGACTTTAAGTTGTCAGGTCATGTTTTATTTTTAAGAAAATTGCTTAACAGCAGTTTTCCTACCTTAACGCAGAAATTCCTCAATAGTCAGAAGGATTCGGGAACTCCAACCAAAGGGCATAAGTTGTTGTCTACTAATTTTAAAAAGTGATACGGAAAATTGAATCACTTTGAGAGCCATGAGTCACAGTCATGTTTAGCGAAACGAGTTGTTTACCGTGTAGTCGTCTTAATACATTTCTTTTTAAAAAGTCAATCAGATTGAAACAAAACTTTTGTTCTGAAAAAAATCGTGTCCGGTCTGAATACTTACTTACTTATTAATTACATTTATATTTATTTATCCTTATAATGCCAAGTGTATAAGTCTTAGAGCAGTCGACGCCACGCTTGTCTGTTCATGGTCACGTGCTCCATTTTTTGGCACACCCAGGCCCTGGACGATTGAATCATCATTTATTGTACCTCTATAGCTTCCAGTTGGTCATCCTCGTTTTCAATATTTCAGTTGGTCTCCATACCATATCTCATAGGGTATTTTTGTCTTTGGCAATATGTCGTAGATATTTTCATCTTCTCCTTTTTATGGTCTTGTTGATATCTTCAATTCCAGTTCTTTCCAACACTTCATTTTGATAGTAAAATCCTTCGTTAACATAATTTAGTTTGAACGCTTTGTAATTTCTGTTGAATGGTTTTGTTTCTTTTCCATATATCTGAACCATACGTCAATACGGTCAACACATCGCTATTATATTTTTTAAATTTCGTCTTCAATGAAATTATTTTTGACTTCCATGCGGTTTTTAATTTGACAAAAGCGATCCATGCATTTTAAGTCTTTGCTGCACGTCGCCAAGGCAGTCTGCAGTTTTAGATAATATAATGCTACCAAGATACTTGAATTTACTGATTTCTGCAAGTGGTTTTAAAGAATAACGGGCCTCGTTTTTGATGATAGTCGGAGTACATCTGTTTTAGATGCATTTATTATAAGGCCTACTTTTCCCCCAGCTTTTGCTAGTTCGTTTGTTTTTATTGCATTTAATGTACTGTGGTGTTTATTAGGCAGATGTCATCCGCATACTCTAAATCTCTTTAAAATGTGCCATTTGTCCATCCAATGCCTATTTCCATGTCTTTTCTCTGTCTCATTAGGAAATCGATCACAATTCCAAAAAGTACAGGTGATAATATAAGCCATTTGTAACTTCAGTATTTACACCAAAAGGTGCAGATTTCTAATAGTTCTCCTTCAAACAGGACACTGCAGCTTGCTTTGGTATATAATGATCTTATTCAGTTGATTATTTTTGTTTGGATACATAAATCGCAAGAATATACCATAGATCTTTTCGGTCGGTGCTGTCAATGGCTTTTTAAAAAATCCACAAAGTTAAAAAAAATGAGGATATTCCATTCTTTGCTTTGTTCTACAATATTATTTCTCAGAACAAACAGTTGAGCTGTACTTAATCTCTCCTGTCGAATACCCACCTGTTCCTCTAGTAGTCTCCCATCTATTCGTTCTATATTTGTTCTTGATTAAAATGTTCAACCACGTTTATGGTCCAGCTTTTTAGTGTAAGTTATAAAAGACCATACAGTTATAATTGTAAACTTACATTGATTGAGACATATAAATAGTTAGGTGTAAAATTAATTGTTTTCTCTTAGACTAAAAAAATGATTGAGATAAAACAAACTTCTTTTCAGAAGATATCTAGCCGATACCTAAATCCTTTACAAAGATGTAGATAATGCTCTTTAAAAATGTGAATGAATGTTTTTACTATCTAATTTTTACCATGAAACCTACCGTACTGTGAACTAACATGAAAACAACAAACTTGTGTCCCACTCATGGAATTATACTTGCGACCGCTGTAAAATTCTTACTTAAACTAAAAATTCCTTCATCACAAAGTGTCCCCCCCCCCCCCGAAAAAAAATCCAGCAAACAAGCAACATCAACCCGTTCTTTGCGCATAATCTCAGCTCCTTTCTTTCCCGTCTCCCTATGTAGGTGGCGCACGGTTTTGACGGGATTCGTCACAAAAACGGGGAACTGACAAAGACGTCCGCAGGCCTTGACTACGCCCAATTTCTACTGACAAACTTCGGTAGGCCAGGTAACTGAGTCTTTTTTCGCCAGTTATGACTGTAGTACGTGTTGACATGTTGGCCAGTAGTTGTTGTAATATATTATTAAACAAAGTGCTGCTCGATCCCCCCCCCCCCCCCGCGAGAATATACAAGACCTTTTCTTTCCCGCTGATGATGTTGTTGATAATGATAATGATGATGATAAAGATGATGAAATTTGTAGTTATTTTCATCATTTGTTCATCCTTATATCCAATAAAGTAATCCACTTCTGTTGGATTAGTCAAAATTGCCGTTTATGACAACTTTCAACTCTTGACAGCATTTTACCCCTAGTAATAATGCTGACTATGAACACTGAGCGGGGGCTCTCGTGGCCTAGAGGTTAAGGTGTTGGCCTCTCATTCGAAGGTCCCGGGTTCGAATCCGGGTAGCGACCGAAAAATTTTCTTCTCTAAAATTGTCTCCTTTCACCTCCTTTCCTGCTCTCTAGGAATTTTCTGTTGTTTGCTTTCATTTCCACTTTCTGCCCCCACCCCCTCACCTCCTTTGCCCCCTCCTCTGGGCTCCTGACTCTTTCTGCAGCCTTTCTACTGCTACTCCTTGGCTCCTCCTTACTGCTGTCTTTCTGCCACACCCCTGATCTGCTGGTAGGAAAGATCTACACCTAGCCTTCTCGGACAAGGGCGAAAAATCTCGGAGGGCCCGTGTGCAAATTGCGCACGTAAAAGATCCCTTGGTGGTCTAAAATCGATAAGAGTAAGCTTCGGCCGCCACCCGGGCAAAATTCAAAATTTCCTACCAACTGAAAATAACCTCGCCCAAAAAAGTCAAGGAACAGCTTGTGTTTTCACCTGTCAAATTCAAACTTCAATATCTCACAAACCCGTTATGATCAGTCTACCAAACTTGGTACACGCACTGACGACAAGACATAGTTTGCCTGTACGGCAAATTTGCCAGCACCAGCTTCATAGCGACGACGCAGGGCATTCTGAAACACATCCGAAAAGCATGAAAAATGGACTAAATTTCTCCGACTCAGCAACTGTGGCATAGGGACTGTTAGCTAAAACTATGCTTGACACGTGTTAAACAGATGTCTTAGCTGTGAAGATTGCTCACTTATAACCCTTTATAAGCCAGCGTTTTTCTGCCATGTTTCATTACAACACGATGGTCCAACAACACTCGCTGCCTGACGTCAACAGAGGACGAGCCCTTACCTGGCTCTAAGATGGCTCAACGTACCCAGTTGTTGCACATCGATTTGGGGTGTCTCCATCAGTCATATAGAGGCTGCAAGAACGATGGCGAGCGACCGGAAGGGTCCCGGACAGGCCTCAACCAACAACAGCGTCGACCGGTTCATCGTCAAACAGGCCGTGACGTCACGAACCACCACTGCAAACGGCATCAGGGACCAACTACGGGTGACAGCCAATGTCCACGAGAGCGAGGAGACGGTAAGAAACCGTATCCGTAGAGCCAGGTTAGCTTCTTGTGTCCCTGCCAGGCGCCCAAGGCACACGCCGCTAAACAAAGCAGCTCGCCAGATGTGGCCAATAACAGTGGACACATTGTCAGTGGGACCAGGTAGTCTTCTCGGACGAATCCAGATTCAACCTGCTGCACCCAGACAGGCGGGCCCACGTCTGGAGGCGCCGAGGAGAGCTGTTCCACCCTGAGTGCATGCTGCAGGTGGCGCCCTACTTTGCAGGGTCCGTTCTGGTATAGGGAGGCTTCTTAGCTCACCACAAGACCCCGTGTACCATATACAGGGCAATTTGACCTCGGCTAGGTACTGGGAGGAAATTCTGCGTCCCCTTGCTGTCTCTCTCCTGAAGCAGATTGGACCCCAGGCTGTACTGCAGGACGACAACGCAACGCCATATCGCGCACGCGTCGTGGGGGACTTCCTACAGCAGCGAGCTGTCACCTGCATGGACTGACCAGCTTGTAGTCCGGATTTGAACCCAACAGAGAACAGTTGGGATCACATTGACCGGTGGATAAGGGACAACCACCCTCCTGCACAAAACCGTCAACAACTCTTGGGCTACCTCGTCCAGGAGTGCAGAACCTACCCCAACAAGTTCTCCGAAGGCATGTCCTGTCCATGCATCGACGCTGTGCTGAGTTTTTGATCAAACGAAGTGGCTACATCTACTATTGACAATGTTCATGAAGAACTTTGGCTGTTCAGACTTTTGAAATCCGACCAGTGTGACTTAAACTCATGTTACATAAACTTCTCGTTGTTGTTGAAATCTGAAATTGTTCACACTTAATCTAGAGAGTCGAAAGCATCTTTTGTGAAAAAATGAATGAATTTGGTTAAACTGTTCTTCAGTAATCTTTCTTTGAATTTTTGTTCCTTGACTTTTTTGTGCGAGTTTATTAGGTGTGTCCCGCGCGCTCATATTTATATGACCTTATGCAGTTCCGAGCGCCGTAAAACACTTTACAAAAACAAAACAACGAACACTGAGCAGTGAACTAATTCTCTGTTCCAGACGTCCCCCATATCCTGATCACCATCACAGACGGAGTGTCCAACAACCGGGCTGAGACTGCCAGAATCGCAAACGTCACTCGACATGAAGGGATTGAAATCTTTGTTATTGGAATCGGCAGGTGAAACAATAGAAACGTTTTGGATGGAAACATGATGTTAACCCCATCCGTACGCCCCGGGGTCATTTTTTATACCTAGAGTTCTTCACATTTTAGAATACTTCTTGTACGAAGATGAAACTTTCAGTATTTCTCGAAAAATCATTTTGACACACTGCTATGCAAAGCGTACGGGTCGGATAAACGAGTAATTTCCTCCTTGGAAAGTAGATATCCCCACGTCGTATGGATACGATAGTAAAACAAAACGTACAAGATAAGAACAGTATACTGGTGGTATATCGATGGAATTTAGATCGTTTTGGCCGCGGACTGCTATGACATTGTAGGTTGAGATTTTGCTTCCCAAATAACTTGTACATGTACCTACATGTAGCTGTATCACTTTTGTCCAGTGTTATATCTACCTCTTTGTCAAGTCCTCTCTGTTGATAATTAATTGAATTCAAGTGTAGGAAGTGGACTTTGAGCTTTCAGTTCTTGTTTTCAAAAAGTGATTTTTCCCTGTTCTCTAGCTACTCTGCACGGAAATATTCATCTATTTTCTTTCTAATTTTTAGAGTAAATTCTTAATATAGAGCTTAAAGACCCAAATAAGGAATAAAGATCGTGGTAATACCCCCCCCCCCTCTTTTCTATCGCCACCTACCGAGTGTCTGGCTCATCTGACGATAGTGAACAAATGAATAAGTGAAATGATGAATGAACAATTAACCAATCAACCCAAAGGGAAATATGGACATAGATTCAGTTAGTTCTTCTTAAATAACCAGGTATGCACACAAAAAAGTGCCTTCCCGACTCGGGTTCGAGTTCTAGTTCGAGGATCCTGAGTCAGAATATCCGCAAGTTTAATCAGACACGAAAAAAATATTCAGGGTAAATGATCAGGGAGTAGAATGCTGCATTTTTAAAGTTCAAAACCTGTTTGTCAACTCGTTATCTATAACTTGCTTACGAATACCCGACACCATTACAAATCACCACCATTTTTTCTCGAATCATCGTTGCCATCATACGCACTTTTTTCAACTAATCAGATGGCGTCAATCTCATATGAATGGGCTAGGCATAAAAAAGGTATGCAAAGAAACAGATTTCGTCTTCTTTCTTTCCCTGTGCATACCCTCCCCCCCCCACGCCCACATTGCAGCTAAATACAGTGTTCATGTTGTTTGTTCCACCCTCCCCCCCCCCACTCTCCTCCTACACCCCCTCACCCCCATCCTTCCTGAGGTACAGACTGGACAAAGTCCAGCTAAAAGAAATCGCCAGTCAGCCGTACAGCGATCACCTGTTTACGGTCACAGGGTTCTTGCAACTCTCCTCTATCTCCGGTCTGGTGAGACAAAAGACTTGTCCTGGTAAGAACATGGATGACCAGAAATATAGTTGTTCTGTGTTCTGTTTCGCTGAAATAACTTGAGAGACTCTAGCGTCACTTCAGTTTTCAACGATTTAGTCAGCTGCTTATAAAACTAAAGAAACAAATCCTAACCTCAAAAAAATTAATTTAAAAAATAAAAAACCCCAAATCAGACTGACACAGACTAGCTTATTCAACAATTGCGTCCAATCTGTTCAAAATTGTATCTGAAAAGCACTCAGACTTAAAGTACAGGGTGATCACAAAAAAACCCTGTGCAAATTCTTTTCGAAGTGGCTAGCTGTGTACTTAAGTACGGCTAGACTGCCAGTCTAGCCGTACTTAGATCTAGGTTTGGCCCTATTGACTCAAACCAGTTAAGTACACTAGATCTAGATCTAGTAATTATTCAGGTTCCAATACATGCAAGTCAGTAAGGTACCTTTTGGTTTTATCTGAAATACAAGTACTTTAGGCATTGCAAACTTAAAATATCATTTACAATTCAGCCATCAATATTAAGTACGTCTAGCCTGCCAGTCTAGCCGTACTTATCTTAGGCCCTATTAATATTAGAAAACAGGAGGTTTATAATACATGCACTGTCATTTTAAGGCACCTGGTTTTGTCTCTAATACAAATACTTTAGGTACTGCAAACTAAACATTTATATTTACAATTTAGTAGGCCTATTTTTTTATGGTCAATCTAGCCATCATATTAAGAATAAGTACGGCTAGCCCAGCTGTCTAGCAGCCAACCAGTCTAGTACAGCTAGACTGCCAGTCTAACCGTCTTTAAGTACGGCTAGCCTATTCCAACTCTTTTCTTAATATTTTCTTTCACACTGAAGTTTTGCGTTTCAAATCTGTACACTACATTTGGAAGCCAAATGGAATTTGTCTGATATTCATTTTAGATCATTCCACGGAATAGTTTTGCTCTACAAAGCCGTAAATAAAACAACCCATTTTCAGCTATGTCCCCATTTTTTGTAGAATAACGCACTAGTTCGCAATTGGCATACCACTAAAAATCCCAACGATTGCGCCATATTGCAAACAACAGTAGTCCAACAGGCCAATAGAAGTTTACAGATATTTTTTCTCAAGTTTCCTTTGCCTGCTGAGATCGTGGTTAAGATTAGTAGAGAGCAGAGAGCTTTTTGTATTGAACATTTCCTCACCACCAATTCATTTCGTACGTTTCGCACAAGGAACGGAAATAATGTTAAAGTGCCCTTAAGGCCTTCTTTGATGTCAAGGGTGAAAATGGTTCGTCAGTTATGACCAATACAGAATTAGAACTAAAAATTCCCAGACAAAACAACCACTTCGCACCCCTTTAAACGTCACCACAGTGCAGAATAACAATTCAGTAAATGAGCCCCATGACACGTCTGTCCATACGCCGTAGACAATGTCTGCAGCAATGACGTTCCTACTTTTCTACCGCATTCTCAAGGCAGATATTCATCTACGACTGTACCATTTCCCCGCTCACAAAGCTATCAGAGGATAGCATTGTGTTCATGATTCCTCGATTGTCTTGAAAAGCGTGAACATTTTTTTCTCTTTGACAGTTGATAAAGCCCATTAATATACTACTTTCAGGTTATATCAATTGAACAATTGTAATTTCGGCAGCCTCCTCCTCCCACCCCCCCCCCCAAATTGCCTCTAGAAACAACTCCATACTGTAAGGTGTACAGTGTATTAAGTGGCTTTGAGTACTCATGGTTGGGTGGATCCTTGTGCTTGGCCTCAACTGAACATTACGAACGACGCGTTAAAATGTGTCGAGTCCAAAGGAGGACATGTCTGCCCCGCTCAATAGCAGTCGTAAGACGCACTAATCTATTATCAGCTAAGAGGCTCGAAAGACAAAAAAGTGTCTTTCCATGAAATGTTTGGGGTTTTTTTTTATATTGAAAGTTTGATGTCTTCTGCTTCATTTAAGATAAAAATAAACAACTATAGTCGACTACAAATATTTTATTTTGATTTATTTTTTTAGGTGTAAGTGGTTTGTTGTGAGCTCGGGTGACGAGTTAAAGGAATTTGGACCTTGCTAGTGTGTAGCTGTGAGATTATTTTTAGAACCATTACCTCATGGCAACCTTTGCTTCCACCAAAGATTCTCCACAAGTGGAAAATCTTTGCTCCAACGTTCTTCATTCGCAACCATTTTTAGATTTTGACCCCTTTTCGAGCATAAATGGTCTGAAATGTAAACAACTCTGATTGGTAAAACGGAGTAAAAACGGTAACTTCAAGCTCACTTCAAGCTTGTTTAAGTAAACAGCTGGCTGAGTGAGCGTGCCCTGCTAGCCGCTGTCGTCTGTTGATCTTTCAGTTTTACTCTTTGATTGACTTTAAAAATTCGTTTTTATTGTGTTTTAGAGCTTTTAAAAGATTAATTAACCTACCTCTAGATCTCTCAGAGCGGACTCCTTTCCAAGAGGCCACCGAGGCGATCTATGTGCATGTGTGTGTATGTGTGTTGGTGTGTTGGTGTGTTTGTATGCGTGTGTATGTGTGTGCATGTGTGTATGCGTGTGGGTGTGTGTGTGTGTGTGTGTGGGTGTATGTGTGTGTGTGTGTGTGTGTGTGTGTGTGTGTGTGTGTGTGTGTGTGTGTACTCTTGTATGTTTATGGTGCTATTGTAAACGTTAATCGGGTAGTGTAGACACGGCACGTAAACCGACTCGCGGCCTTCCGAGCGCGTGGATTCGGTGAAATGGGGGTAATTCAGATCTGTGTTTCTTTGTTCTTTTGCTATGAAACACCAAGTGCTGAACACTTTGAAAAAGTTCAGATTTTTTTCGTTATAATAGTGTAAGTTGTTTGTATATCCGGGTATTTGGAGCTGGAAAATCGCCGTGGAAAGGGAAGCCCCTCGCGGTCGGAATGCGAGGTCCCCGGTTCAAAATTGACACCGATGCATTCAAATGCTTTGCAGAAAGATTGAAGATTTAAAAATACCGTCTTTTCATTGGCGGAGAACTATACAGCTTTCAGCGTGGTTTCCCGTGGTTATTATTTTTGGCCTTTGGCGTTTAGATAGAAAACCCTTGAAATAAAGGGTTTACGTTTTCAAAGATCATTTTTAACACGAAATGTGTAAAATACCGGCAAAAAAAGGTACCAATAGTATGCGTCTGGCTGTGCGTGATTGTAAGTGTTATTCGTGAGGATGCGTTGGGCCGAGTGTGCGATTGCTGGTCTTATACATTGAACATAAGTAAGGCAACCATTAATTTGTTTCTTTATTAGTGAAATATATGCATTAATAAAAACAAATGTCTCGGTGCTGCTGTTTGTAACTGATGTTTGTAAAGAAGAACAGTTCTTTTTCTATCAGAATAAAGTCATCGGCTAGGAAATATTTTGCATGAATCCTTCTGCGAAACTACCGGGAGCACTCAGTATACTACAGTATTGAGCGGGCTCGCTCGCCGCGAGGGCTGGTGCGACGGTGGCCGAGACAACGCTCGGTGTTGTTTTTTTTAATAACGACAGATCATCGTGTTTGAGGCAATAGAATACTGATTTGTAATGATCTCACAGTCCTGAAAAATATTAGGCTTCATTTCTATGTTATAGTCATTGTACTCTTTTAATATAGAGATGTTTGGTGCACTTGGTACTCTTTTACTATCTGTCAAACATGGGGTTGCAACCTGTTAACAACTTCAGCAATATTTTATGTTAAATTGAAACAGCTGCCATTCTCTTAAACATTGACTGAGAGGTAAATATAAAAGTATGGTACCAAAACATTCAGGAGACATAGGCCTTTCATATGAAACAGATGAATGTGACATACAGCTACTTTGAAAATTTAGTATCTTGTATAATGCTAATATTTTATTGCATTTGACGTGAAGTCCATTTTCGTAAAAATTATGTTTGGTCCATAAGGTTTTTATTCTCTGAGAATGACTAGTTTTCTATTTTTGTATATTACCTTGTAGTGGCATTGCCAAGATAACTGCTAAATTTCAAGTCTCTATCTCATTTCTAAGACACCCATTGCTATGGAAACATGTTGCTCAACTTTGGAGGCCATTTTTTCCTTTTCGTGTTTCCTCACCTCGCACAATTAAAAGTTCTGTATTTTCGTTAAATATTGTCATGTTATTTATTTACTTCATTCTTGTTTTAAATGATAGGGAAAAGCTGATAGTTTTTTAAAATTATGTTAACTCAGTTTTGAAATTTCCTTCATATGACTGATATTGACCGGCAGGGACCATTTGTTCTCGGAATTTCAGAATTTTAGAAATATCTTTTAAAACTCTATAGGAGAAAAGACATGCTGTTCAAAGGTTACAGGGATGGAAAGATTAGATTTTTAAAATAAAAGTAAAGAAAAATAAAACAATCGTTCCTTGACTTCCTTTACAAGATCTTTTAAATTTGTACATTTTGCATTAGTTTTATATGTGGTTTTTATACTTTAAAAAAAAAAGCCATTTCCGTTTTGGAAAATAAGTTTCTTCTTTGTTAATTTCATGTCAAACAAATTCCTTTTGAATGAATATTATCTATTCCAAATTACAACATTCTAGAATAAATTTTGTGCGAGATATTCAGAAAAAAAGTTGTACAGTTGTTGTTTTTTGGATCATCCTGTATTTCAAAAAGAGGACCAACAAATTGTTTCTTATAATTGAGAAATTGGGTGGGGAAATTTCACTTTAGGAAAAATGCAAAGTTGCAAACATGGCATGTAAGATGGACAAAACCCAGTCTTCTATAATAGGTAGTGTGTGCAAGATTCCTAGGCGTTAATTGGTCGATCGTAGATGGGATTTCATTGTAGAGAAATGACATAATCTTTCTTACATGCTTATTTCACAAAGCTATGATAATATATCTCACAACACCGTCATTGGTGTATATATATGTGTGTGTGTGTGTGTGTGTGTGTGTGTGTGTGTGTGTGTGTGTGTGTGTGCGTGCGTGTGTAAAATATACATATTATACATACGTATATAATTATGTTTTAAGAATCTGTTTTGCCTTGCTTAATTTGTTTTTCCCTGCAAAGGTGAGCGATGAAACTTTGTTGTCTTTGCATTAATTCCAGTAATCATGTGAAGCAGTTTCGTTTTATTGTACGTAGTCTCGTGACGACGACGATTGTTTCTTTGACACGTTCCCCTTTTCTCCGATATCAAAATTCCCGTTTCCAAACTTCTGTTCAAGGTAATACAAAGGCATTATGGATTCAAGTATGAAGTACTACTTCTGAAAGGTGAATGTTTCTGCAGAATACATGAGATCTGACTATGTCTGACCTTGTGAATATACGTTTAAAATAATACATTCATTACTTAAACCCATGCATGACTAATCTTAAACCAATGGGTATACACGACTTCATAGCCATGGCACCAATTTGAACGCGTTGGTGGCCATTTTGGTTTGGGTTGAAGAGGTGAAAGTGCAGGGAGCTCTGTTTGTGTGAGTCAGTGTGCGTCTTTATGTGCATGTGTCTGTATCTGTGTGTGTGAGTGAGTGGCTCTGTGTGTCTGTGAGAGAGAGGGAGAGAGAGAGAGAGAGAGAGAGAGAGAGAGAGAGAGAGAGAGATAGATAGAGATAGAGAGAGAGAGAAAGAGAGA